TGGTCTTCCCTTCCCTGGCCAGGTGTGCCCCTCCCTGGGTAGGCCTGAGTTGCGGGGGGGGGGGAGCAGAGAAAGAAAGCAACTTTACCATTAAATAAATGCATTCTCAAATCCCCCAGCCTACAAGTATCAGTATCTATTTTTGCCCCTTTTGTTTTTATTTTTGGCAGTCTCATTGAATGTTAAGGTAAAGCTCCCCTTGCTCGAAAGCCAGTCGAATCCGACTCTAGGGTTGCGGTGCTCATCTCCGTTTCAAAGCCGAAGAGCCAGCGCTGTCCGAAGACGTTTCCGTGGTCATGTGGCCGGCATGACTAAACACCAAGGCGCACGGAACGCTGTTACCTTCCCACCGAAGTGGTACCTATTTATCTACTTGCAATGTCTTGCTTTCGAACTGCTAGGTTGGCAGGAGCTGGGGCCAGAGACAGGAGCTCACTCCATCATGCGGCACCCGGGTCTCGAACTGCTGAACTACCGACCTTCCACAGCCTGCAGTTCAGCGTCTTAACCACTTGAGCCACCGCAGCTCTCATTGAATGTTAACAAAAGGCAAATCTGCATATTTTTCAATAAAAACACGACCGTAATATTTGTTCATGGCATGCGGCTCTCAAACATCTGGTGTTTATTCTGTGTGGCTCTTACGTTAAGCAAATTTGGCCACCCCTGGTCTACAGCAGCATACGAATGCAGGCATGCTGGAGCGCCGGATTTCTCTCTCCCACCCCCCCCCTGCTTTAGTCCCTAAGAATTGACAGGATCCTAGAGAGGCGGGATGTCCAAACTGTTCGCACCCAACAAGATTGCTCCTTCGGCGGCTCTTTTTATCATATGTGGTGAACTTGTGATAAAGCAGCGAGTTATTGGACACAGGTCCACGCTGAGCTACAGAAAATTCTGAAATCAACATTTAAGAAAGAACCAGAAATTTTACTTCTGGGTCTGAAAATGGAAGAAGTCAATGTGACCAAAAAGACATTGTTATGGTACTTACTGACAACTGCAAGGATGACCTATGCTCAATTTTGGAAGCAGGATAGAGTGCCAGAGACTTGGGACTGGCTAAAAAAGGTATTATTCATGGCGGAAATGGACAAATTGACAAGGAAACTGAATAATAAAGAAGATGAAGAATTCTACGAAGATTGGAAAGACTTTAAAGAGTATATTGAACAAAGATGGGATGTTAAGAATACCTTAATAGGGTTTGAGAGCTATTAGAGTGGAATTTAGCAAACTGTATATTTGAAATATATATGATAAAATGTTACCAAAGGGGATGTAAGGAAAAAGGGAATTTACAAAGAGGGAAAGATGGGGTAACAAAGGGAAATCGCAGTGCGGGAAGCCATACAGAGGGGGAGGGAAGGAGTAAAATTAGAAAATGGATATATTTGAAATGTTGTTGATAAAAAATTTTTTTGTTAAAATTGTTATATCCTTTAAATAAATAGTTTATTCAAAAAAAAAAAAAAAGATTGCTCCTTCGGCTTCTGTGCGTAAAGTGCTGTCAAGTCACGGCAGACTTATGGCAATCCTGGAGGGTTTCCAAGGCAAGAGACGTTCAGAGGTGGTTTTGCCCTTTGCCTACCTCTGCACAGCGGCCCTGGCCTTCCTTGGTGGTCTCCCATCCGAGCAGAAACCAGGGCCGACCCTGCTTAGCTTCTGAGATCGGATGAGATCAGGCCAGCCTAGGCCACCCAGGTCAGAGCCTCTAATCGAGCGCTGTCTAGTTGCAACCAATTTATGGTGACCCCACAGGGTTTCTGAGGCAAGCATTGTTTAGAAGAAGAGATTAGATTTATACCCCGTCCCTTCACTACCCAAAGGAGTCTCAGAGCGGCTTACAAACTCCTCTCCCTTCCCCTCCCCACAACAGACACCCTGTGAGCAGTCTTCCCTCTAAGCTGTGGAGTCCTGTGAGCAGAAATTCTACTTGGTGAGCTACTGGCATTAAAGTTGTGAGCGAGCGATTCGGCTGCTGCATCAATTAAGTTTGCTCTGGAGCCATCGTTCCTGAGCGAAGACAAAAATGGGTGAGCCGGAGGCTAAAAAATGGTGAGCTGGCTCACACTAACTCAGCTTAGAGGGAACACTGCCTGTGAGGAAGGTGGGGGCTGAGAGAGCTCTTGACAGAAACGGCTCTAATTCAAGAACAGCTCTGACAGAACTGTGGCTTGCCCAAGGTCACCCAGCAGGTGCAAGTGGAGGAAGTGGGGAATCAAACCCGGTTCTTCCAGATTAGAGTCCGCGCACTTAGCCATGACACCAGTGGTGTGCCCTTGCCTTCCTCTGTGTAGTGTAGAAGTGGTGTGCCCTTGCCTTCCTCTGCGTAGTGACCTGGACTTCCTTGGTGGTCTCCCGTCCAAGTACTAACCAGGGCTGACCCTGCTTAGCTTCCAAGATCTGACGAGACCAAGTTGGCCTGGGCCATCCAGGTAAAGGCAGACAAACAGAGGTGGCTTTGCCCTTGTCTGCCTCTGCATAGCAACCCTGGACTTCCTTGGCAGTCTCCCATCCGAGTATTAACCAGGCCGGACCCTGCTTAGCTTCTGAGAGCTCACGAGATGGGGCTAGCCTGGGCCATCCAGGTCAGGGCCCTTCATCTTATTGTGTGTATTCAAATGCCAATTTTCTACCACTGTAGGGGTTTGGTGGGTCCACAGTGGCTCAGTGGTTAAGACACTGAGCTGCAGACCAGAAGGTCGGTAGGTCGGCAGTTCTAGACCCGAGTGCCGCATGACAGAGGGAGCTCCCGTCTCTGGCCCCAGCTCCTGCCAACCTAGCAGTTCGAAAGCAAGAAATTGCAAGGAGATAAATAGGCACCGCTTCAGTGGGAAGGTAACAGCGTTCCGTGAGCCTCGGCGTCTAGTCATGCCGGCCGCATGACCACGGAAAGGTCTTCAGACAGCGCTGGCTCTTCAGCTTGGAAACGGAGATGAGCACCACCCCCTAGAGTCGGATTCAACTAGCTTTTGAGCAAGGGAAACCTTCACCTTTTACCTTTAGGAATCTGGTAAATAATCCAGTTGGTCCCTTCTGGCCTAATTCTGCCATTATATATCGTTCATTATAAACTACCAGATAAGAAGTCGTGGAACAAATGCTTGCACGATCATCCTGGGTCAAAGTTTGCAAACACAGATGCATTCATTTCTGAGTCTCTACGCCAGGATGGGCCTTCGGCGGCCAGCTTACCTGAGGGCAGCATTCGGTGAATTTTGCAAACCTTCCGGAAACACTCCCCAGTGTAGTCGTCCAGCGGGGTTCTCTTGTTAAAGTGAACTGCCACAGGAAACTGCCGCGCGTCCACCTACGGGGAAAATGCCAGTTTCAGGAGGACAGCCGTGTTGGTCTGCAGCAGAAGAGCTGGGTTCGAGTCCAGCAACACCTTACAGACCAACAAAATCTGCAGGGTCTAAGCATGGAGAAACCACGGAAAGACCACGGAGGGGCAACAATGCTGTGCGGAATCTCAGAAATAACCTGCTGCAGTTGGAGGGGGAGAGAAAAGCCTGTGTGGGGAAACCGATTGCCCCGGTCCTCAGGAACACCACTGAGTTATTGCTTCTGTTCAAACTTCTCAGCCCTTTCCCATCAATCATACCTTTTATACAGTTGTTTACTGGCTCTCTGGAGGGTCATGCAGAAACATCAGAAATTAAGGGTCATAAAAACATCTACCCAGCCGGTAATCTTGCAGGTTTTCATTTAACTTTCCCAGCTTTGGAACTCCCTTCTAGTTGGCACTTGGCCAGTATATGGATGAGTAGAAGCCGGACTCAGGATGCCCAGAAGACGACGGGCTCTCAATTAGCCGCGGTCACCAGCTCAGCCTTGGAACTGGGTCTGTGTAGTGGCCAGTCCTGAATACATAATGTGGCATTAAAATGAGGGCCCTTGAGCGTGAGCAGAGGGCACCCGCCAACACCTTTCCTGATGCCCGCCTAGTATTTGGGGAAAGTGGGCGGAGCCCAGTGGGGCTTTTGCCCAGCAAGGCTTCTGATTGGCTGTGCAGATTTTTTAACAGGTTGCTTTGACAGCAGCTGCCACCCTGTGTGACTGAAGGAAAATTGTGGCAGCCGCTTTTTGGCTGGCTTCACCTCCTGCAGCAGCTCGTCCGTGGTAGTGCCCACCCTGCTGTGTCAGAATTCCAAAAGGTGCCCGCAGGCTCAAAAAGGTTGGGGAAACCTGACCTACCAGAAGCTAAGGAAGTTGTGCATTGGCGTCCCCTCTATTTTACCCTCATACAGACCCTGTGAGGTACGTTGAGAAGAAGACGACATTGGATTTATACCCCGCCCTTCACTTGGAGTCTCAGAGCGGCTTACTATCTCCCCTCCCTACAACAGGCACCCTGTGAGGTGAGTGGGGCTGAGAGAGCTCTTTCGAGGACTGCTCTCGGGAGAACAGCTCTGAAAGAACTTGTTGTAATGCGATGTATAATCACTTCATGATGTTTATTCTTTTCACAGCAGGACGTCAACAGACAGTCAATGAAGGACGAACTTCCCCAGAGCTACCGTTCGTTTCGAACGGTACATTGGTACTTACCTGAAGGTTCTTTCTCTTCAGTGGGGGAGAAGTCATCCAGGAACTGGTTAGGTCACGCCTCTGCTCGCTCGATAGGCTATGCAAATTTCTTTTGTTGCGTGGCTCCTATTGGAGTGGCCTAGGCTGACCTCTCCAGTTATGTCCAAGCCCTGTCCGTGGATTACTCTCATTTTATATCCTTGTTTCCGTCCACGGTAGTTGTATGTTGTGCTGTTGCAGTCCATAGTTTTGCCACCCTGGTCTATTTCTGGCATCCAGTATGGGTGGGATGTGGATGACTTCTCCCCCACTGAAGAGAAAGAACCTTCAGGTAAGTACCAATGTACCGTTCTCCTTCAGTGGGGGGAAGTCATCCAGGAACTGGTTAGCTGTACCCAAGCTATTCTTCCGGGGTGGGTGACTAATTCCACTTCATGGTTTTACCGCATTGTTGTTGTTTTAATTACTATTTAGTTATTTATTTTTACGTCTCCAGTATCTGCTGTAAGAACCTTCTGGCAAACGCCGCCTCCACCGAGGCTGCTTGGTCTATCCTATAAAGTCTCCCACATGTGGGGAAAAGACTTTCAGGTTGTCTCTCAGCAAATCTCTTCTGCAGTGTCTCGTGTGGAGAAGGCTGCTACCTTGCTGTTGGCCTCATGGGACATGATTTGTTGCCCCTCGTCAACTTTGGAAATACACTGTCTGATCCAATAGGCCAGTGTGTCCTTGGGGACCTTTTGCCT